AAATTTTGTTTGTATTTTATCTTATCTGAGATAATTTAAATACATGCTATCTTATYTTARTCTAGATAATATTAGAGCAATAATCTTTTATCTATATCTAGATAATTTTTACTTATCTGGTCTCAACACTGCTCCTTGTATCCGCCCTTGTAATTTCTTCCAAATTTCCGCGTGGTCGCTGATCTCATAAATGTTTTTTTAAAAGCCTCTGTAAACGCACTCCATTCAGTCAATTCATCCATGTGTCCTAAATACCATTGTTTTTCCGGACTGGATAAATGTGACCGCGCTGCTTCCAATGTGTACTGATCTGGCCATTTGTTCAGGCACTTCGAAGTTTCTATTGCTTTCAACCATTCCGTTGGCTGTGTCTCCCGTTAAATATTGAAATAATCTGATCCAAATTAGGTAGAAAACATGTCGCTGCGCTCGCATCGTTCGGTCGCTCGGTTAATCTGGTGATTAACTTATCAACTTGTTGTTCGCAAATACGATTTTGTTCGATCATTAATCGTAACAATTCGTTTACGTCTACAACCGTCTGGTCCATTGTATTTTTATAATAAGTGTAAAAGTGATTAAAAGTTGTGATGACTGTTGGCGTCATACATCTATTTCAAATCTGCCCGCCGTTTACGATGGTCATACTGGTTAATTGTTTGCCACAAACTGATAACATACCGTTGGTAACTGTTCTTGACCACTGGTTATCTGTCTGTGAATTCGTTATATGATACGTTTGTATTATTTTTCTACTTCGTCTTTCTTTCTTTTCGTTCTGCTCTGTGGTTGCAGCAACTTCGTTTTTACATCTGTATACAGAATACAGCCACATTGTCGTTATAATTTGTTTGTTGCTGCAATGCTGTCGTGACCGTTCATTGCCTTTTCAATTAGTTGTGGTCACGCTCCAATCATTTAGCCTTTGACTTCATACAACCAAATATTGTGGTAAATACCGTTCTCACATTTTATTTAACTGTCAATTCATATATTCTTTCCAACTTTAGGGTGTTGTAGAGTGTGATTCACGTGTGAATAATCATAATCTTATGTATTAACCTTGGCATCATCATTGTATCGTAGCAGGGTAAGTTGGTGCACCAACCTGTTGTAGTCATATTATATTGTTATTGCATTTGCATCTCTTGTATTATTATATTGTTATTGCATTTGCATATCTTGTATTATTATTGTCACTATTGCATTTGCATCTCTTGTATTATTATATTGTTATTGCATTTGCATCTCTTGTATTATTATATTACTATTGCATTTGCATATCTTGTATTATTATTGTCACTATTGCATTTACATCTCTTGTATTATTATATTGTTATTATTGCAAATACTATTGTAACTGATATTATTATTATTACTTTATTTAAATTTAATATAAACATACAGTCCACCATTTACTAAAATTTTGTTATTTGTTATTATCTATAATTAAATGAGCCAGGCAAGCTTGCTATAGCTGCAAGCCCCTGTGTTCTTCACAGCGACACTTGTCCCACATCAACGCGACAGGTGACCTACAGATGCATCACCGAACTACAACGTCAGTGTTTACGTCCCACCGGCGCTGCCGCAGTCAGTTCTATGAGTTCCCTCGCTCTCAGCGTCTGACGTTTTCGGTCCTATTCCTTTTTGTTTATTGTTCGTGTCACACACATTAACGTTTTTTCGTTGTAATTCATTGCATTGTTTGTGTACGTCTTTATTTTACCTAAATATAATATTATATTCGATTGTGTCGGTAATCATAGTGTTTAATCATTTTAACCTTTTGTACCCCACCTCACACTAAACAACCGCATCGGTAACCTCGTGTTTTCGCAGAATCTTCGATTTTATTTACACGCTAATACGTTATGTTTAAAAACAAGTCAACCGACCTTTTTTCGTTAGACGAAAATGAAGACTCGCTTGAAAATCCCGGTTCGCTCGGTAAACCGCTGGCACCCACAGTCTCGCTCGACACGACAGCGGTCGACGGAATTTCCCACGTGCCCCGAATACCGAATTTTTGGGTGAATTCTCCGCACGAATAGTTTCTTCATGCAGATGCCGTGTTTGCTAATCAGAGAATTCGTTCCGACACCCGMGTGTTAACCACGTGCTCGCCGCTCTGATCTGTCTCAACGCATCTTACGCTAGTTTAAAAGATCGACTTATTAGCACGTTTTCGGTGCCACAGTCGACGCGTTTTCGCACTATAGTTGARCCGGGTGGAATGGGCGATCGGAGACCCTCACAATTGCTCCGTGACATGAGAGCCATCCTTCCCAATACGTTGGGCGACACCGCTTTAAAGGAGTTTTGGCTGCAAAAGTTGCCGTCGAATATTCGCGCCATCGTCTCCGGCCTCGACGGGTCGTTGTCCGACGTCGCCGAACGCGCGGATCGTTGTTTTAGAAGCCAGTTCACCGCGCGATGTTTTTGCTGTCCAATCAAACAACTGGGACGAACGTCTACGCGCCGTGGAGGCTGCCGTCCTTGCATTGACCACTCAGATATCTAATYTACTCTCAGCCCAGCAGCCTCATAGATATTCCGGATACAGCCGTGACAGAGGCCGTTCAAAGTCACGCTCGCAAAACAACCCTAAATGGTGTACCTATCATAATCAGTACGGCGCAGATGCTAGGCATTGCAAGCAGCCGTGTTCGTTCAAGTCGGAAAACTAGTTAGCGCGGCGGTTACATCCACGTCCACCGCCGCGAACTACGACAGCTGTCGCGTGTTTGTCACCGACACTCGCTCCGGTCGACAGTTTTTGATTGACTCGGGAGCTGATGTTTCAGTTATCCCAYCTGTTACCGGCCACATTGCTGCATCGGATTTGGTCCTCACAACCGTGAACGGTACTCGGATCCGCACATATGGGCCCAAGGACCTACGTCTCAACATCGGTCTCGCACGTTCTTTTCCGTGGCGTTTTGAAATGGCTGACGTGTCACGCTCTATTATTGGCGCTGATTTTCTGAAATATTATGGTCTGCTACTCGACGTACGTAACCATCGCCTAGTCGACCTAGACTCATCCACCGCTATCAAGACCAGCGTCGCAAGTAATGTAGATTGTTCAAACATTTGTGCGGTAGCTCACGTACGTCGCTGGTCTTACATTATCGCCGAGTTCCCGGCAATTACGCGTGAGTCGCCAGTCCCTAACAAGTTCACTCATACTACAGAGCACACGTTGGACACAACCGGACCATCTTTATTCGCGCGTCCGCGTCGCCTTCCACCACACCAGTACATCATCGCGAAAAAGGAATTCGCGTACATGTGCCAGAAAGGCATATGYCGGCCTTCAGACAGCCCTTGGGCCAGCCCCTTACTTCTTGTAGCTAAGAAGGACGGCACCTTCAATCCATGTGGAGATTATCTGCGCGTGAACGCCGTCACGAAACCAGACAGGTATCCGTTGCCGCATATCCACAATTTCGCCTCCCACTTGGCCGGCCGGACTATTTTTTCTAAACTCGATCTTGTGCGCGCGTATCATCAAATTCCCATCGCTAAAGACTATATTCCGAAAACCGCGGTCACTACGCCGTTCGGTTTATATGAGTTCCCAGTCATGTGCTTCGGTCTCAGGAACGCGGCACAGACTTTCCAGCGTTTCATAAACAGTGTGTTGCAGGGGCTAGATTTCACGTTTGCCTATATCGATGATGTATTGATTGCTTCCGCCACTGCCGACGAAAATGAGTCCAACGTTCGCGAAACGCTCCGACGTCTACAGCACGCYGGTGTCGCAATAAACCCGGATAAGTGTGTGTTCGGCGTTCCCGAACTAACCTTTCTCGGTCACCGGGTCAACCAATTCGGATGCAGACTACTTTCGGAGCGGGTGTCCGACGTTCATAATTGGCCATTACCATCGACTAAAAAAGGTCTACAGAGGTTGTTACGCACGGTCAATTTTTACCACTGGTTTATCCCACACGCCGCGCAGTTGCAAGCTCCGTTATACGCACTCGCGGCTACGATTCGAAAAAAAAGACGGCCCGCTGGTCTGGAACCCAAACACTCGCGAAGCTTTCGAGAAGTGCAAAAAAGCTCTCGCGGACACTGTTACGCTTGCTCACCCGAAGTACAACACACCGTTAAGATTGATTACCGACGCTTCCAGTACGGCAACGGGAGCGGTCCTGGAACAGTTCACAGACGGTAACTGGCAACCGTTGGGTTTTTTCTCGCGTAAAATGTCACCTGCACAAACTCGTTATAGCACCTATGACYGAGAATTACTCGCGGCTTACCTAGCAGTCAAGCATTTCCTTCACACMATTRAGGGTAGAACTACTACACTCCGTACCGACCACAAGCCTTTGCTGTACATGTTTTCAACAAAAGCTGATAAACATAGCGATAGGCAGTCGCGCTATATAAGTTTTTTGGCTCAGTTCGTACATTTGGTCGAGCACATCGACGAGGCGCATAACGTAGTTCCTGACGCACTGTCTAGATTGGAGATCGCATACAACAGCACTATGTCTCCGGATTTAAGTCAGTTCACGGCAGATCAAGCGCTAGACTTGGAATTAAAGAAGCTACTGGACGGTTCCAGCCCTTCTTCGTGCCATTTGGTACCTCAGCAGACCGAGCACGGCGTGGTTTACGTTGACACCACGCACGGTAAAACCCGCCCATACGTTCCAGCCATACATCGACGCAACATTGTCACCGCGCTCCACAATCAAGCTCACCCAGGTATCAACGCAACCGTGAAATTGGTGACTAGTCGGTATTTTTAGCCGGGTATGTCACGACAAATCAGAGTTTGGACAAGATGTTGTCAAAGCTGCCAAAAAAGTAAGGTACATAGGAACACCATTTCTCGTATCGCGCCATTTTCACCACCCGACCAGCGTTTCGGACACATACACATTTATTATGTCCCCCTACCTCCATCGCAAGGACATCAGTACATGTTGACGTGCGTTCACCGGTTCACCCGTTGGCCGCAAGGTTGGCCAATAAAAAACATGACCACTTACGCTGTTGCCGAAGTAATCGTGACGCAGTGGATTGCCAGGTTTGGAGTGCCCTATGTAATAACCACTGACCAAGGTAGGCAGTTTGAATCAGACTTGTTCAGGCAACTGATGTCGTCGTTCGGGATTCAAGACCTTCGAAGTTCGCCATATCATCCGCAGGCCAATGGTCTGGTCAAGCGGTTCCACCGTCCTTTGAAGGCTGCCCTCACAGCTCACGATTCTCTACAGTGGACGTTACGGCTACCTATCGTACTTCTCGCTTTCCGCAATTTGGTCAAACCAGAGCTCGGTTGCTCACCCGCGGAACTGGTGTACGAGACAACCCTGCGATTATCCGGTGAATTATTCCATACTTCTACTCCTGCGGTTAAGGAACCCTCCGAGCTACTCAGATCACTCCAATCGCAAATGCAGTCGCTACAACTAACACCCGGCACGAACCATGGACGCCGAGCGGTTTTCTTTCCCAGCCAGCTGTCGAGTTCCACACATGTTTTCGTGCGCGTCGATGCCAAGCGCCCCCCGCTTCAGCCCTGTTATGACGGACCCTACACCGTCCTGGATCGTCGGGAAAAGATTTTCAAGGTCCAGACGAGTTCCAAGCAGTCATGGATTTCCGTGGACCGCCTTAAACCAGCGTTCATCCTCAATGACAACCCACCTGCGGACCATACCTACGCAGCCAGCGAGATAGCCCATCCTTCACCTCAAACCAAACGCGTCCGTTTTCGTTCCCATGGGGGGGGGAGTAATGTGGCGACACTTGTCCCACATCAACGCGACAGGTGATCTACAGATATATCACCGAACTACAACGCCAGTGTTTACGTCCCGCCGGCGCTGCCGCAGTCAGTTCTCTGAGTTGAGTTCCCTCGCTCTCAGCGTCTCACGTTTCCGGTCCTATTCCTTTTTGTTCATTGTTCGCGTCACACACATTAACGTTTTTTCGTTGTAATTCATTGCATTGTCTGTGTACGTCTTTATTTTACCTAAATATAATATTATATTCGATTGTGTCGGTAATCATAGTGTTTAATCATTTTAACCATTTGTACCCCACCTCACACTAAACAACCGCAAAGTCAATGATAACAACGTAAAGTTATCACCGTCGAAAACTCACATCATAGAATACTAATAGTATTCTATGCTCACATTTAGATAACCGCTTGGTCCACTGGTATACGTTATAAACCATAGACATATAAATATCACTTCAATAAAACCAATAGTCAACCACAAATTAGAATTAGATCATTTTTAACTAAACAAATTCATTTTAAAAATCAATAAATGTTATAAATTGTAATCGTAATTGTTTGTAGAAACTAAAAAATTTATCGAGTGGCTGTTCAATACATATTCTATTTTCTATGAATGTAATAAACTGTAATATTTATGTTTACTATTTTAATCTTTACTTTGTAATACCATAGACATATAAATATATGTATAATATATATTATATAATATACATATATGTGTAATACCTATTAATAAAATACTGATTTGCTGTACTTATATACTCATTTTAAACAAATTTACAAATTTATATTATAATTATTATTAATATTTATTTTTTTATATTTATTATTATATAAAATATAATTATAAATTATTATGTAGTATGTAGACATGTAGTACAAAAAAAAAAAAATGGAACAATTGCAGTTTAGCTACCATGTGATTTTTTCAATTTTTTTTTTCGAAACCTAGGTAAATCGACGTTTTAATAATGATGGTGCCAAAAAAAAATTGCGCTAACACTTAGTTTTTGAGTTATAACGATTTGAAATTCGAAAATTCCTAAATTTTGAATTTTTTGAACTTAATTTTTTTTTTAAAAAGGGGGGGCTTATGTTTATTACAATTAGTTTTGAAATAATGAAACTTTTAAAATGCATATAATTAAACTGTTTTTATTATTTTTTTTTTTACATAATATAATTTTATTCATYGTCTGTAACAAAACTACTCTCATCAGACTCATTATATTGTCTTCATAATTAGGGTGGTCATTCATCAAGAGTGGGTCGTAAAGTTGACCAGCGTACTTAAAAAATTCTGTCAATACGTCCAACTTTTGATAACGACCACGCTTAATAAACATACATTTTGCCATGTAACCACCATGCTATTTTTTTTTACGGCAGTACTGTGACAGCATGGCGCCACATGCCTTCGACATTGTTGGTGTGTGTGCCTGTATCTGGATTGACAAATTGAATCGAGTGATTCACTGTCAGGTGTCGGAAACCTTCCTCTTCTAAACAATCATAAGCCTAAAATTGTTGGCAATAAAAAAATGGAAAATTTAATTTTTTCTTCGTTTTTAATTTAAATTTGTTTGTTTAGGTTTAAGTAATTGTATTACCTTCCAACAATCACTAATTATACACGTGCCCGGCAAAATCCAGTCTTTAATTAATGACAACAATGTGGTCTTGTCACGGCGTTCAACAGGAACAAGAAAACAAAGCCCAGATTCCCGCTCAATTCCTCCAAAAATCCACTGGCCTTCTACTCGATGGCCACGATGGTATTTACGTCGACCAAATTTCGACTCGTCTATTTCGACTGTTTATTGCCTATTCCACCTTTTATAGTTAATATTTGAAAAATTTTAAATTGTTGTACTGTTTATTACATAAGTTAAGGGTATAATTTGTATGTATCTCATAAAAAATTCAAAATATTTAAATCATTTTCATTTTACAAACTCACCAATCTTCTCGTGACGTATAATCATACAATCAAAAACGACTTCTCTGTGAAAAGCTGCCCAATCTACTGCAGTATTTTCCGAAATAGAGATTTGCTCCATTATAAAAGATAGTGAAACATTTTTAAGCCACAAATAAGAAAATGCCACTATTTGAAAAAGGGACAAATGAGATTTTTTAAAAAAAGTATGTTTGCGAATCGATTGAAAAAATTCGCATCTCGAAGACCTTTTGTTTTTTTTTCTCGACATCGCCATACAAATCCATCGATAGCACTATTCAAGGGACATAAACGAAGAATATGCCCTTCATTAGTTCATTACACTTTAATGTATTATTTTTACGTATTAGATTCCACTCTTGAAGTTTTTCTAGTACTTCGATACTAACGGGCCTGTTTGTTTTGCACGAGAAAAGTTCAAAAATATTTAAAAGATTAAGACACATGTTTCACAAATAATGCATACCGCATATACTGCCGAGTGCCAAAATAACTTCAATAAAAACCCATAGGTAGGCATAGTCGGTTTCACATTTAACGAAAATGAGAAAATATGAAACCCGTAGTATATAATTAACTTATCTTTATTGCTTATAAGTTATAGTTATCTTAACTTTGACTCTACGTTATTAATCAAGTTTAGGTACGACCGATGATTTCGATAGTGTATCGAATTCATTGTAAGTACCTATATGTTTTTAATTTCAAAATATCATATTTTTGTATTTAAGTTTAAAGTTATAAAAAAGTTGTAAAATAATTTAAAATACATTTTGGATTAGAAATAAAATTTTAAAATGACTTGTTTAATTTTTTTAAAGGGCATATTTTGWTATTTATTGTGCWTATTTGCATGCATATTTATAAGTGTTTTTAAGGTCATAAACATCCTAACCCTAACATAAGTATTTATATTTTATATTACTAATATTTGTATGGTATAAACTCGAAGAGTTCCGCGCGGCAATGCAGCAAGCACGCTGTCGTTGCGCGCATGCGTTTAAAACTAAAATCGAAAACTTTGGAAGGCTGTAACTTCTAAAATAACGGTTTTCGCAAATTTATTTTTGCATCATTGTTCTTAACTCGTCGAAATAAATATGTTTAGAGAAAAAAAATCGCGTGGTAGCTAAACTGCAATTATACCCATATAAATATTTTATTTCATACAGAACGTAATTATTATTATTTATTATATCTATATGAAATATGAATTGATAATTATGGTTTGGTAAAGTAGACGGATGTCTACAAATATAATTTTTTTGTTTCTAATTGTTGTCTAATTAAATTATAAAGTGGATGGTTAGTGCAGCATAATGGGAAATTTTCGTATCTATAACTACTTATTTAAATAGGATAATTTCCATTTTCGCTATACCTCATTCGATAAAGTATAAATTCGCATTTTGGTAACATTTTTGTAAATTTTTACCTATAAAATAGAAACTTCGATATGAAATATTACTAAAGTCTATAGGACGAGTATTATTTTGATTTTCAACAATTTGTCACCTATACCTATCCGGCTATTCATCTGGTATTAGATTTAAATACCAGATTGTTTTTAAGTAAGAATATAAGAGTAATGAACTAATAGCTAATGAGTATGAGAGTTGGGTACCTATTAAGTATACGAATCATTTAATTTAGTTGCTTATTACAAGTATAATCTCTTATACATTGACAGATAAAAAATTAATGAGTTTAAAATTAACGACATCATTGAAGAACTGACTGCAGCATATAAATTGGAAATTGGAATACCAGCTGCTTATACTTACTAATTTTTAGATAAAAATTAGAAGTACTACGAGAAACCTATTTATTAAGCATAGGTGAAGGTTGGATTTAAATTTAGGAAGGGCAAAGAATCTTTCTTTAGCTATTTTAATTCGAGTACCCGGAGTACCTATTTTATACATTGAAAAATATTCAATCATTTTTGGTGGGCTTTCGATATTTTTGAGGGTGCTAACCTACACCCCCCCCCCCATGTTAGCACCTATGAAATAGTCGAAGCAGTATACCTAAATAGTAAATACTCATAATATGGCCATATAGATTTATCAAGGAATAGATGAATTTAATAGCAGAACTTCATCTATCAACATTCTATGCGTTCTTTCTTTTTTATTAATCATATATTTATATTTATGTATAATATATATCTTCTGTAGAAACAACATACTAGGCTAAATTGTTATTTTGTTTTATAATTCATATTACAAGCAGCTATTAACTACGTAGTATATTGTGTATAAATTATATAAAATAAAATACATAAATTACTATATATCATAGTAGTCAGTTCAATATATTATATATATATTTTTTTTTTGATTAAATTAATTAAAACCTAAATGATAAAATGGTATAAATAATTTGATGGATTCCATGTAAGTTATAAAAACATTACTCAGATGGACTGTACGTAAAATTGTATGCACACTATAGCACAAATGCACAATACACATTATATCAATAAATTAATTAATCTTGACAAGTGTTAATTTTATTTTTGTCACTGACTTCTATTGTTCTATGAAAATAATTATCGTACACTCGTATCCCGATAATTTTAATTTATTTCCTTGGTATACAATATTATTCAAACCATTATCTGATTTCCAAAGATTATAATAGGAATAACCTCACCACAAACATATAATAATAAATTGTAGGACTTTACTTGAGGAAAAATATTTTCGAAATAAAATGTAAATATTAGATAACAATAAATTAATAAGTATTTAGTATTAAGTAATAAGTAATGACTAATGAGTAAAAAGTAATTAATTTGTCTTTACTATTATTTATTCACCTTGAAAGGTTGGCATTAGAAACTATGTTGTTGCACATGCTGATAGACGTCTCACAGTCAGCTGATTAGAGTTCCACCCATTTTTTTTCAAGTCGCGATCGCTGCATTCACCGCCAGTAGCAGCACTGCATGAGTTGTGGCTTTCGGAGTTGTCTTTCAATCGAAAAAGGATACGCCCGTGCAGATATTCAAGTGAGTATAATATTTAATTATTAATTTTTCTACCTAAATGTTTCCTTCC